AGAGAGAGAGAGAGAGAGAGAGAGAGAGAGAGAGAGAGAGAGAGAGAGAGAGAGAGACTTACCTGTTACCTACCTGTGAGCGCCATAGCTCCAGCGGAGAGGGCAAGTCTTCAGCAGCTCCAAGGCGGCACCTTCCACCTGAAGGTTGGTGCCTGGACACTGGATCAGCGCAGGAGGATCTTCCTCCGCCCCACCTCTCCATCTCCACCTTCTCCTCTGCCCCTCTCGGTTCTTCTTCTTCTTCTTCTTCTTCTTCTTCTTCTTCTTCTTCTTCTTCTTCTAACCTTCCACCTTCTCGGTTACTATGGGACAGAGATCGATGGTGAGATATTGGTGACATCAAGACTGAGACTATTTCAGAGTAGGATGTTGGGAGGACTATTTGGAGATCTGTTACCAACGGCATTTCGAGATTCTGTAACTTCGACATTCCGAGATTCTGTATCTTCGACATTCCAAGATTCTGTATCTCCGACATTTCGGATTACTGTTTCGGTGACTTTGTGTTGGCACCATCTCCTCCTCCTTCCTTCGTCTCTTCCCCCTACATTCGTCCGTGTGTGTTGTGTACAGGCCCTGGCGCACCTTCTATGTTGGAGCGCCAGGCCTTCTCACCTGATGAATGTATGTGTGTGAGCCTGTGTATAGTCCGAGTCAGATGTGAGACAGATCCATGTTTTCAAGTCTTCCGCTGCATTATATTGCTCTTTGTTATTGGTCGGTTCTGGGTTCTGCATCCTACTTGTGTTCACTTTCACTAGTATGCAACATGTAGCTAAAAGAATCTGAGTTTGGGAGAGACAATGTCATCTACCCTGGGCACCAGTTGTCTGCTGCAGACCTCGAGCCTGAGGCAACCAAGGTTGAGGACATTTGCGATATTTGCAATTAAACTCAACCGGTGCATGTACTGAACGTGGGGGTGGGGGAGGGGGTGGAGGTGGGGCGATTGCTGTGGTTGGTTTTTGAACTGGGGTTGGGGCTGGGGTTAAGGTGGGTGTTGTCGGGGTGGTCATTGGGGTTGTCGGGATTGTTGTTGTGGTTGTTGGGTTGGTGGTTGTGGTTGTGGTTCGGGTGGTTGTTGTTATTGTGGTGGTTGTGGTTGTGGCTGTGGTTGTGGTTGTGATTGTGGTGCTGGTTGCTGTTGTAGCTCTTGTGTTTGTTATTGACGTTGTGGTTGTGGCTGTGGTTGTCATCATCGTCATCACCGCTGTTGTTGTTGTTGTTGTTGTTGTTGTTGTTGTTGTCATTGTCATTGTTGTTGTTGTTGTTGTTGTTGTTGTTGTTGTCGTTGTCGTTGTCGTTGTCGTTGTCGTTGTCGTTGTTGTTGTTGTTGTTGTTGTTGTCATCTACCTTGGGCACCAGTTGTCTGCTGCAGACGTCGAGCCTGAGGCGACCAAGGTTGAGGACATTCGCAATTGGCCTCAACCGGTGCATGTGTGCGAACTGCGCTCTTTTCTTGGTTTGGCTTCATATCAGTGGAAGCTTGTTCGCAAGTTTTCTGTCATTGCTCACCCCTTGTCAATACTAACAAGTAAGAATGAACCCGATACTTGGAGTGATGCATGTGAAACTGCATTTCAAGCCTTGAAAGAGGCGTTGGTGAGTAGATTGCAGATCCCAAGCTCACATTCGTAGTTACTACGATTGTGAGCTAATATGAGATTGGTGCCGAGGTTGCCAGTGTTTGGGTTCAGCCGAACCCCCGAACACGAACGACCGAACGTTGGGGACCCCCTACAACTAAGTTCGGCCCAAGCGTGATTTTGTTTTCTTTTTTTTTTAAGTATTTTTTGGTTTTGTTATTTTTGGCTGTATTGCAGAGGAGGGTTCTTAACACTGCATATTTTCTCATTCAAAAAAAAAACTGGGCAGGGGGGCAGTTTGCCTGCCGAACGGGGCGGGCGCCCCTCCCGCCCTGCGTGTGTGTGTGTTGGGGGGGGGGGGGGCACCAACCAATCAATCAATCAATCAATCATGGAAAAACAAAGTCGAAAAAAAAAGCCCAAACGTGTGTGTGTGTGTGTGTGTGTGTGTGTGTGTGTGTGTGTGTGTGTGTGTGTGTGTGTGTGTGCGCGTGTTGTGTGTGCGTTTGTGTTGTCAAGAAACCCTAAACTTTCTCTCTCATTCCATCTATAAGCCATCACAAACCATCCATAAAAGAAAACAAGTATAAACGGGCAATGTAATAGAAAATGCGAGAGATGGTTAATGGAAGGCCAAAAATTCGGAGTTTTTCGCCACACCACCACAAGCAATGTCGTCAAAAATTTCGCGAACAAACAATGCAGGCTCATAATACAAACATAAAAAAAAACAAATAGGCAAAAAAAAATGAAAAAAAAAAACTAAAAAACACTATAAAACCCTATTGGAAGTAGCTTTCAAAGTTCGCCATTTTTTTTCCCGAATTCGGTGTTTTTACCAACTTTGTTGTTAGCGGTCCAAATGCATTGAAACTGAATACATATATGCCCTAAAGCACATACATATCACACAAAAAAAACAACAGAGAAAACACCAATTCAGGGAATATGGCAGTTTCGTGAAAAATCCGTCGAAATTTCGAAAATGACACCACCTCTTAAGTTTTAACCATACGTGGTGTGGTTGAGTGGGAAGTGTCCACACACCTGGCTGCTGTGGAGCTGTCACACTTGCACATATATATATGTATATATATATGTATATATATACATGTATATGTATATATATGTATATATATATATATATATATATATATATATATTTCAGCCTCCTGATGAGTCGGTGAAACTCTGACGAAACAGTTTGTCACAGCCCCTCGTTTGTTGTCCTCTTCTCCCTCTCTGCCTACGGTTTACCGGGCAGCTCTGTTTGACGATATATAATATGATGTCACAGCCCCTTGTTTGTTGTCCTCTTCTCTCTCTCTGCCTACAGTTTACCAGGCAGCTCTGTTTGACAATATACATCGTCAAACAGAGCTGCCCAGTAAACCGTATATATATATATATATANCGATATATATATATATATATATATATATATATATATATATATATATATATATATATATATATATCGCCAAATAGGGCTGCCCGGTAAACCATAGGCAGAGAGGGAGAAGAGAACAACAAACGAGGGGCTGTGATAAACTGTTTCGTCGGAGTTTCACTGACTCGTAAGGAGGCTGAACCCTCAACAGTCTGCAAAATCCCCTAACTGATTACATTGTAAGTGATAATCCACCTTAACCCTGGTTGTGGTTGAGCATGAACGACTGCCTGACAATTGATACCCTGAGGTGGGCACAACCATTGCCCTCGAGGTATCTACAACAAAAATCAAAGCAGACGATCACTCACCCACACCAGATAGGAAACTCTA